TTTCCAGTTTTAAAATGGTTTTTAATATTTTTCTATTATCAAAACCCACGCATGAAATAACAAATTGATTTGATAAAGCAGATCATAAAACAACATTCAATGCAAGGGTATAATTATGTTGTGTTGAAAAATCATTTTCCCTTTACGTCTTCAAAAATTTTAAGTGAAAAAATATTTTTTAGTAAAAAGTTCAATTATTCAACCCCCCCCCTAGACACCAAATCAAACAAATTTCCGCCAGCCTCGAGGGGAGAGGAGGGGTTGGAGATCTTTATTTAAAATATTTAAATGATTAAGAAAGGGCCCATCACCTAACTTGACAAATTTTGAATATGAAGACGATTTTTAGACTCAAGTTATGATTTAATAGTCAAAATAACAAAAAAAAAACATAGTCCTTAATCCGTTTACACAGGCCCATCACACTAAAAAACTATTAAATTTAAACCAAAACCAAATACACACAAGATAACTTAAATGTTGGTGTCTTATTATTCCACAGTTTTATGGCCCTCACAGTCGTCGTTATATTAATCAATACAATGATGACGACCTGCGATTTTAATTTTGATTTCTACCAAGCTTACAAACAACATGAATAAACAAAAAAACTGGAAACAAACAAAAAAGCTGCCAATTAACAGCTTTTTTTGAACTGTAAACTTGTATTTTGAAAAAAAAGCTTGTTCGAAATCACAGGTTACCTAGAAAATTTGTCATAATTGTATTGATATAACGCCGATCACTGCAAGTTAACACAGTAGTAACCTTCTGTCCGTTAAAAGCGCCATTGATGTACTCAGCTGCCGTCTGCCCTTCACCGTAGGTCTTGCAGTGAGAGAAGTTGGTTACTTAACAAAAAAAAGGTATTATTTATATTTTGATCCGATGTTTATTCGAGGAAACGTTGCTAGAAAATCAGAGAAATGTTGTTCTCCCATTCCCTTCATCACTTCTGAGTCCGCGATTAAAAAAAATTCTGAAAAATACGGCTAAGGTCTAAGCTGTCGTTGGACCTTATTTACGGCTTGAGCTTTCGGATACAAGTTGCATCTTATTTTCCACAGAGTTGAATTAAAAAAAACCGGTTTAATATTCTATTTTGTGGATTTTCATGGTAGGAATTGGCGCATTCCCAGTTTTTATGAGAACAAGCTACGCAACCAACCAAGGTCGGTTTTATTTTTATTGGGCTTAACTCCCAAAGTTTAGCCGAAGATCTTGCAGCTGTCAATCACGTGACACAAGCTGTCGTCAGAGTTGAGTCTAAGATTGGGTCTATAAGTCGGGTTTAAGGAATTACGACTCGAGCCGAAGCTTTTAAATCGCGGGCTCTGGTTAAAATAAATATGTAAATTGTTGACAAATTTGTTAAAAACACTTTTTTAGAATTTAGTTTAAAAATTTTATTTTCATTAAAAACAAACAAAATTGTTCAATTTTTTTTCAGAGAATTGCAGTAGTGCTTTTATTTTTTTATTTGCCACTTGTAAAGATACTTTGGGGTTCTAGGGGCCCTTCAAGTGGCCCCCTTCCTCCAACACATTTATTTTGTAACATTAAATCAGAAATTTTCTTAAATTAGAAACTTTCCTAAATTGCAGAAATATTCTTACCTAACATTTTGAAAAGCGTGGACTCCGGAAACGGAAATTCTTTAATTCCCTGGCGCAGAAAATTCTCCTGATGAACCGGAAATCTACGAAAAAAGATTTTTGTGCAAAAAATCAATATTTTTTCGAACTTTGCTTAAATGGAAAATATGTTTCTTTGTATCTTAGCTTTGTCTTTTTTAATTTGTCTAAAGGGTTACCCACAAAGGATGAGACTGTTTTTTATTTAAATAGTTTACAAGTGCAAGAAACCATGAAAACCAAGAAAAGGAAGGAAAAATCCGTAAGGTCCCTCTGAAGATTCATTAAGGGGGGGAGGGGGGTTCAGGCACCAACAGGTGCTGACTGCTGAGCCCCACCCCCCTGAAAATAAAAAAACCCTGGAAAATTTTTTGAGTACACCCCTCATAGTGATTAATAGAACAGTACCAGAAGAAAAAATAATTTTCAACTAATTTGTGTCATGAATTTCTTCTCGTCTTATATGCTTCAAATTTGTTACTTAATGTTATTATGCCTGACGTTTTTGCCTCGACGTGCTGATGTCTCGACTTTCTTTAATTGACAAAAAGTTATTATTGATGTTAAAAAAATATTCACCGTGTTTGCCTAGAAGATATTTGGTCCAAAAATATATTTTAAAATTAAGTCATGTATATTAAATATACCTAATTCATGAATAACTATTAATTTATTTATTCACGTGCCTAATTCTTCTAGCGGCATCAGCCTGATTCTCAACATAAGGAGGCATTTATTTGCGGGATCGGTCAGCAAGTCCTTTGCTATGGTTTATGCCTGCACGAGATGCCGTAGTCTTATATACCCAATTCCCATGACTGAAACCTCAGTCAACAAATATTCTACTGCTCTCACTTTCAAAACTGTATACTGTTCAAGTTTGCTTGTATATAAAAAGCAACTGTTTAGAATAACAAATTTTGAAAACATTGCTCTTCTTACATTATGCCATATTTTGACCTGAACTATATGAGCAAAAAACGAAGCAAAACGAACAATCTTAATGCACATCTCTACGTGTATTGTGTATACATTTAACTGACCTTTAGTATATATTTGATCATATGGAACTTCAGACTGAGGATCTCATTGACGTCGTAGCGGTGCTTGAACTCCTTGTCCGACATCAGCTCCAGGACTGCAGTCACCTTCACCAAGGGGGATTAAATCAGATTCCCCAGAACAAAATAATTCCATACTTCCCCCCTTTTGTTAAACAATATAATTTTCAGTCATCATCATAATCAGTTAATAAATCAGTAAACTCAGTTGCCAATTCCATCCTTTCTTTATTATGCATCATAGAACAACCATCCCCCCCTTCTCTCAAGAGTGAGAAAGACACCTACCCTCCCCTCCAAGTTCTACCATCAACAGTTAGAACACTTAAAAACTTATTCAAAATTTAACTTGTTTCATTTTAGGATTCTTGAAGGATTCCTTAATTTACTTTCAAGGTTAAAATTCCGCTACCCCATCCCCAAATTTCTATTTAAACTTGTGCTAGTTACTCTTCTTTCGCAATTTTCCCAATTTAGAGCAGTGGCAACAAATCTTCCCAAAAGTACAGACTCCGAAGAGGCCTTTATCAAATGTTATAACAACTCCTCCCCTTGCACAATACTTGTCCACGCCGTAGCTCTCGCCGTCTTTAGTTTCTAGTAGAGGGTCAATTGAAATTACATCAACCGTCCTTTAATAATGTTTAAACAATCTTAATTGTTGAATTCTATATTTCTAATTTTATCCTTTCCTTGTCCAGGTTTTCCAGCAGAAGAGGGTCAGCTCGGACTATCATTGATATTCTAGGAGATATTCTGTTATATAAAAGAGAGGAGAGAGGAGGTGGGGGGAGGGTTAAGTTTTTGGTTTATATTCCTAAGGACTTTCTTTATTAAAACAAATTGACTGTTGATAGATGATTATTCAACACATTTGAATGTCCAGGAGAACAAAGCAAGTAAAGTAAGTTCCCGTATGTCATGAATATCATAGACCTTAGTTAACTAAACTGTTAATTCTGCTAGATCAAACAGTTAATAAAAAGTTTACACCTGCTAGAACTCAGGAATCAATCAAATATTTGCTAGAAAATCAATCGAACTTTGTATCGATTAACAAGTCAATTTATCAATCAACCAACCAAGGATATGCTAAAAATCAATCAAAAGATTTTCTAGAAATCAACTATAATCAATAGATACATCAATACATCAATAAATCACTCAAATATTAGCTAAATATTAATGAAAGATTCGATAGAAATCAATCAATCAATCCACGAATCTATCAATAAATTATCATAAATCCTTAAGTCTACCTGACAGGGTGTGTATTCATACTCATAACCATCTTGTAAAGTGGATGGGCTAGTTTAGCCGGCAGTTTAGGTTCATCTTCCAGCGGTTGCAGTCTGATTTATACATATTTATATCTAGTGACATTCATTATCTTGAAATCCCCCCCCCCCGTCCAGACTTCTCCCTTCAAAACTCTTGAGTCAGGGGTGTATATTTTTCAGAATTATGAATTTTGATGATTTGGGGGAAGAATTCTTTTGATACCAAAAAATTCATTTATTTTTCCCAATTCAGCGAAAAAAATAATTTTCAAAAAGAGGGGAGGGGGATGATTTTTCTAGAAATTATACAACCCTGAATCTTGTTTCAAAACGTGACTTGGTTTCTGTTACTAATAACAATCAAACTTTCCCTTTGGACAAGAAAAAAAATCAACAATAATAATAATAATCGCTGTCAAACCTTCAATCTAGGTTGTAGACTTGAGCTCGATCCCTCCGTTTAAGTTCCAATGAATCCACCCAGTTATGAGCTAAGTGTAAATTCAGAGGCGGGAGACAAGTTAATAAAAAAAGCAATAAAAAACAGCGTACAAATGAAAATAAAAAGAATCAAAATATTTAAAAAGAAACTTACCTAGTATAATACCAAACGTCGTCTTTAGGTACAAAATTGTTAATGACAGACACACACTCGTGGTTACCGACAAACGCAGCCATCGCAGCTGCAGTTCTGGAAAAAATGACATTAAGACAAAACAGAAAAGATCTTACGACTGTAGACGTAATTTCTAGTGGCCCTTCAATTTTAGAATGCTTTTGAAGATTTACCTGATCAAGGATGACATAATAGTGACCTGCGGATTAATGCTACAGAGACAATGCAGGGAATTGTCAGAATTCAACACAGATAGTAAAACAAAAATGATTGCTCAGCTAGATGTTTTATGTGATTTGTCACTCATTAAAAGGAGGGTAACTTGACATGACGTCTACAGCCACCTTTAGTCACTATTTTAGAACAGAAAAAATCGTGAGATTTAAATAATTCAAAATTTTCTTGATTAAAAATTGTTTTACCTGTTAACTGAATTAATATGATAAGCTTTTGCACCTGCCTCCAGTAACATTCTAAAATCAAATAGAATCTTTTATTGCAGCTTTAACTATTTTCTTTTGTCTCAAATTATTTAACATTTTTCATGAAATCATTTATTTTATCAAACCTATATAATTATCTTGATCTTTTAAAAAAACTCTTTCATAAAGACTGAAGATTCAAACGAACAAATAATGTATCTAAAATCATCATAACTTTAAAAAAAAATTATTTCACTATCAAAAATAGCATAATCTTAATATTTAAGATAAGAACATTTACTAGAAAATTTTCTGGTTATCAAATTTAATCATGGAAACAAAGCTCTTTTATGCCAAAATTTCCATTTATGTATAAAGTAATATTTCCGGTTTTTCTGTTAGGAAGTTTGTTTGTCCGATCATAACTTAGGACATTAATTTCAGGCAAAATATGTTCCCATTCTAGTTGTATTTTTTAACATTTATTTCGAGTTTTAATTTTAAAAATAAGATTAGAATAGATTAGAATAGATGATAGTAGATAAAAGCTAGTTGTATATATTTTAATATTCTTTTTTTGGGGTGGAGGGGGGGGGATCATTTCATTGAAATATCATGAACTTATGAAGGCAGTGTTATTAATTTTGATTGGTTCCCGGATTTTCTCCGAGAACTAAAATTTTATGTTTCATATCAATTTTTTGCTTTGAAACAGAGAACTAGGATCCGTTGAAATTTTTGAAAAAATATGAAAAATAAATTAATTAGGGGAAAAATCCGCCTGAAATGCTTGTTTTTTTAGGGAAAGTACATTTTTTAGCGGTTTTTTGGATTTAATTTAACTCAGTAAATTTTTTAATTTTTTTAAAAAATTTAAACGAATTTCATCTTTCTAGACAATTACGAAGAAAACAATATACGACTTGATAAATTCAAGAAAAAAATATTTTGGAGCTATGTAGGTCTTTTTCAAACTTTATCAGCGATTATATCCTAGAGTTTCAGAGATATTGAGCTAAACTATTAGAATAGTTGGCACAGTACATATTAGAATGGGAAAAGCTACCGCGCGCATCTATTTTCAAAAGTTGGTAGTGTACAGTTCATGGCTTTCTACGTCGTCGATAACCAGGCAAATGTGTACAGGGTACTGCAGTGTACAGGGTACTGCAGTGTACAGAATACATGCAAATCCTGAAATTGATGGGTAGCCTCTTTTTTTAACATTAATAAAAGGGCGAAATTCAAAAATAGACTAAGGGATGCTAAATTGTTAAATAGTCGTTCAAAATTTTTCTTTTTTTCTTCAAGAGGTTCCACATCAGTATCAATTAGCTAAAAATGCACCTTGCTTGAGTAGATAGGATAACATTGATTCAGTTCCTTTCCAGGCCGCGTGCATTAGAGGGGTCATTCCGTGCTTATCCATCATCTCTATACTTGTACCCAGTACCTAGACAGCACCGCAATCAATCAATCAATCAATCAATCAATCACTTAAGATTAGAAAGGAAGTACAATGTGGACTCTCCAGATGTTTATGATCAATTATTCATAAGTTTCAGACTGACTTGAACACTATCTCGTTTCTATACAGATTAATTTTTATGTGTTAAAAAATCCAATCCTAAAAAATATTTTCATATCTACCAAGTGTTTTGAGTATTGTTTATTGTGCGTTTTTTTTACCAGAATTTACAGTTTGAACACAATGCACCACTCACTGTAATTGTTGGGGATACCCCCCCCCCCCNTGCAGTCGGATTCTCTCTCCATTGTTTCTTATATACAAAAAATAAGCAAGTCACTTGTGATGAGAACCCGCAAATGAAAATAAACAGTCTTAAGAAATCCAAACGTGGATATCTAATTCATACTTGATTAGCCGAAGCTTTTATGGGTTCCGCTTTAGGTTTAAACACTTTCAATCGCACAAATATTCCTAAGATATGCATGGGAGTAGACATTTATCTGGATCTGAAGGATAATTTTTAAGAACATATATTTCCCAGACTTACTTGGGATCACATTCTGTTTCCGGACCAAAATAAACATCAACATCCTTGTTCACCATTTTTCTGAAAAAAAAAGGAATATTTTCATAAAAAATCTATTGAAAATCTTTGTGAAAAATTTTTTTTAAAAGAGAGAGAAAAATATGAAAGTAAAACAATCTTTTTTTAAAGTAAAAGGTAGTAGATGAGAACGGAAAATTTTTTGATTAAAAATATGTTTGTTTGGAAAATAACACTTTAATAAAGATTATAGTTTTATTAAGAATAAGTGGTAATTCATAATTGTTCTTCATCAAAATTATTTATTCTCAAAAGAAATGAAAAAAATATATTCAGATTTTCCTCTACTCCAGTATTCTCTTACTTTTCTGTAATAAATGGACTCTTAAACGTTCTTAAAGTTACTCCATTTAAAAAAGGACCATGCCCTGTTTACTTTACCGGAAAATTATCAATTTGAAGAACAGGGATATATAATTCCATCAATTTTCTCAGACGTGTATCGGACATTTAAATAGAGGGTCACTTTAAATTACGTTAACAGTCCCTTTAAAGATATAACAATTTCGAAAATTTCGAGATAAAATGATGTCCGAAGTTCCCGAAGTCGACCTAGTTTTCATGGCTGACAACCTACATCTAATATTCTCAGATTATATCTATAACTTTTATCTCACGGACTTTCTGCCTTTCTTGTAAGAAGGGAAG